GCGTGGGAGAGTGCGCTCCACAGCCGCTCCTCCGAGTGGCCCTGGCGGGCCGCAAACCTCCCACCCCAACTCCCACCCGCCCTGGAAAGTACCCCCCGTGATCACGTGTCCGCCCCGGGATTCCCCCCGTGGCCCCGGAACCCGCCGCTCCGCTCCGTCAGGCGGCCAGGTGTTGGCCTGGAAGTTGCCGGCCATCGTCGTGGGTACCTAGTGACCGGCCGGGCGGGTGGGCGTGGTCCCTCCCTCGGGAGCTGAGAGTCGACGCTAAACTCACACTGACCGGCAGAACACACGCGGGCAGGCGTCCCGAGCTGTCACACGTGCCACGGCGGACACGGCGAGTCCAGTGGGAAAACACGACAGGACGAATTAGACTGGGAATTTGGGAAGGCTGAGAATCCAGAGTTTCAGTGAGTCACCCAAACGAAATGTGAGATTTCCAGGTAAAAAGCAGAGCCCAGAAAGAGGAGAGAGGCTGGCTGAGAAGAACTGGGGAGGCCGGGCGGCGAGGGCCCGGAGAGGGGGGAACACAGCCCGGGGCCGGCGGGGCCTCTGACAACCATGGAGGCTCCGGCCAGGACGGCACATCCCTCGCGGGCAAGCGGGAGGTGTGCAGGAGCAACTTTGTTGCCAAATGTTCGAGGGGAAGAGCCAAGAACGACAGATGCCTTGCACATTGTAAGACAGTATCACACAAGTAACAGTGGCCTGTCCCGGGCCTTGAACACGTCCTATGGCCCAGCCCGTGTGGCTCAGTGGTTGAGCGTTGACCCATGAACGGCAATCACAGTTCCTATCCCGCTCAGGGCACATGCCGGGGTTTAGACTCCATCCCCAGTTGAGGGCTGCAGGAGGCGGCCAATCAATGATTCTCTCATCATTGATGTTCCTCTCTCCTTCCCCCTTCCTCTCTCTGAAATCAATGAAAACATATTAAGAAAAAAAATTGCCCTATTGAACATTCATGTAAGTGAAATATATTTTCTAAAAGAGTGTTTGCTATTAAATGGGAACACCAGAGCTAATAGAGTTTAAGAACCATCATTCTAGGAAGAATATAAGATAGAACTCACCAGGACTGCTATCCTTTGCTGCGTTTTGATCTTATCCTCAGACCACAACTTGAGCTCCCGTCAGCAGCTGGCACAGAAAAGGTGGTAAATGACTTGTTAGAAGAAACTCTAGAAAGGAGAATAGGGACAGTCACCTGGACATGGGATGATAATAGGTTCCAGATAAGCATTGTCCAATAGAAATATAATCTGAGCCACAAATGTGAGCCATATATGTAATTTAAATTTTTCTTATATATGTTTTATTATAGTACTAAATACACCCAAAATATTTCATTTTTTAATATATATGTTTTTACTGATTTCAGAGAGGAAGGGAGAGGGAGAAAGAGATAGAACCACCAATGATGGGAGAGAATCATTGATGGGCTGCCTCCTGCACGCCCCTCTACTGGGGATGAAGCCTGAAACCCAGGCATGTGCCCTGACTGGGAATCAAACTGTGTTCTCCTGGTTCATAGATCAGGGCGACTTTCAACCACTAAGTCACGCAGGCTGGGTTCCAAAATATTATTTCAACATATAACCAATATAAAAAGTTGACATATTTTACATCTCCCCCCCCCCATATGCAATCTTTGAAATTGAAGGCATATTTGATACAGCTTATCTCAATTCACACTAGTCACATTTCAGGTCCAAGTTCAAGTGCTCCATAGCCACATGTGGCTAGAGGCTACCACATTGAGCAGCACAGTTCCACACCCTTCTCACTGAGTTCCTAGGTAATTCTGGATGAGACGTTTCCTTCCTTGGGTCTCATTTCTTCATATTTAAATGATGAGTTCAGACCAAGTGTTCTTGCTTGCAGCACTGACCTTCTGTGATTTTTTCATATTTAGCCAGTCCTTCCCTCCTCTCTCTCTCTCTCTTAACCTTGGTTCCCACTCTCTCTCTCTCTCTCTCTCTCTCTCATTTCCCCATTTCTTCTCCCCTCATTGCCAGATCTGTTCCCTGAAAGATATGTAAACCCTGGGTGAGAATGGCAGAATTTCTAAGTGGCCAACAAGTTTTCTAAGCCACTCATGCTGTGCTGAAGGAAGACTGCCAAGCAACTGCTGATTCATGAGAATCCTGGAGATGATTGGTGGCTCTGTAGGTGGCTTCTTGAAGTAACTGGTTATATATAGTCTTTCTCTTGCTAACCTGAGCCATTTTAGAGCTGGAGTTCCAGCCTTAAATCCTGCCACTGTCTCCTACCAGCAGTGATGTGTTATTAACAGCTCTGTACCTTTGTTTCCAATATGTAAAATGGTAATAATACCCACCTTGGGGTTTGTTGTGGGAGATTAAATGGAATTGCATAGATGAAAGGGCATAATAAATGTTAGTTCTCTAACCTGTAGCCTGCCCGTAACCAGACATTTTAATGAGGCTGGGAGCGGGGGGCATATTTTAGACAGGTGCTTAGAAGAAAGGTTTGCTCAGCTATTGTCTATATTCTTTACCTAAAACAATGCTTCTGTCCAGAGTAGATGCTTACTATTTGTCAAATGTATTAAATAAATATTCAGTGTATACTTAGGCAAGGATTCTACTAGTACAGAAAAGGCAAAAGGAAGCCTGTCAGAACTTTGGTTAAGTAATTATTAGCCAGTTTACAAGAATTAAACTCTAACCCTGCCCTAGCCAGTACTTAGAACATCGGCTCTCGACTGAAGGGTCTCCGTCAAGGGCATGCCTATACCTGGCTTGCAGGCTCGACCCCCCACATCAGCCTGGGCGTGTGTGGGAGGCAACCAATTGATATGTCTTTCTCACCTTGATGTTTCTCTCTCCCTGTCTCACTCTCTCTAAAAATATCAATGGTGTTCATATTTTCTGCCTATGTTTGAATTGGGTTTTCTTTTTATTGATATGTAAGAGGTCTTTATATATTATCAACACAAGTCCTCTTTCATAGAGGTGATTTCCAAATAGTTTCTCCCAGCTTGTGGTTTGTCTTTTCAATTCTCTTAACAGTAGCTTTTGAAGAGCATAAGATTTCAATATTGATGAGGTCCAATTTTTCAGTTCTTTTATGGATTGTGGGTTTAGTATCATATTTAAGAAATATTTGCCTTACCCAAGTATATAAAGGCTTTCTCCTATGTTTCCTTCCTGTTTTTATAACTTAAAATTTTACATTTAGATCCATCATCTGTTCTGAATTAAATTTTGTATAGGATATGAGGTGTGGACCTAAGTTCCTCCCTCCTTTCCTTTTTAAATGGGTCACCTATTGTAGCACCATTTTTTTTTAATATATTTTATTGATTTTTACAGAGAGGAAAGGAGAGAGACAGAGAGTCAGAAACATCGATGAGAGAGAAACATCGACCAGCTGCCTCCTGCACACTCCCCACTGGGGATGTGCCCGCAACCCAGGTACATGCCCTTGACCGGAATCGAACCTGGGACCCTTCAGTCCGCAGGCCGACGCTCTATCCACTGAGCCAAACCGGTTTTGGCTGTAGCACCATTTTTTGAAAGCATGGTTCCTTTTTTACTGAGTTGCCTTTGCACCATTGCCTCAAATCAGTTGTCCATGTCTGTGGGGCCCAGCACTAGATTCTGTTTTGTTGCATTGATCTACTTGTCTATTTTGATGCCATTAACACACTGCCTTAATTGAAGCCATGTAGTGTCAGTCATCCTACTTTGTTTCTTGCCAAAATTGTTTAGGCCATTCTAGGTCCTTTGCATTTCCATGTGAATTTTAGAACCGATTTGTCAATTTCTACAAAACATATCCTAAGATTTTTATTGAGATTGTATTGAATCTGTAGATCAATTTTGGAATAACTGACATTGTAACTATATAGTCTTTTGACTCATGAACATTGTAAATGTATTCATTTATTTAGATCTTAATTTAGCAGTGTTTTATAATTTTCACTGTTTAGATCTTTTAAACCTTTTCTCAGATTCATGTCTAAATATTTCATATTTTTGATGCTCTAATAAATAGTAAATATCTAATTTTCAAAAAAAATCAATGGAAAAAATATCCTCGGGTGAGAATTAACCAAAACACAAAAACAAACCAACAAAACTCTAATCCTTCTAAGAACCATATGAAGTAAGTACTATCATCAGTCCCACTTTACAGAGGAGAGAATGTATTTTTTCCAGGTAACACACTGTAAATGGTAGTATTGGGGTTTGAATGCAGGCAGTTTGCTCCCAGAATTCATGCGCTTGGTTATGCTATGACAAGTGAGGTCCCCGCCCAGGAATTCCAGCAGCAGGCACAAGTCACTTCTTTTAAGGCACTTACCACCTAAATGCCATGGTTTGTTCACCTTTTTAAAGTTCCTTCTTGCCCTAACCGGTTTGGCTCAGTGGCTAGAGCGTCGGCCTGCAGACTCAAGGGTCCCAGGTTCGATTCTGGTCAAGGGCATGTACCTTGGTTGCGGGCACATCCCCAGTAGGGGGTGTGCAGGAGGCAGCTGATCGATGTTTCTCTCTCATTGATGTTTCTCTCCATCCCTTTCCCTTCTTCTCTGTAAAAAAATCAATAAAATATAAAAATATATTTAAAAAAACATTTTATAGATATTCATTAAAAAATAACATTAAAAAAGAATATTCTAAATTTGAATTACATTTTCTTTGGACATACTGTGTTTGGTTTAAGTTATATCTGGATTGGTTTTTTTATTTTTTTATTTTACCGTGCTGTGCCATTTTATTGACCAGTTTCAGAAGTCCACAGTCATCCTGACTTTTGCCTTCCAGACACACACCCTTTCATGTCCTAGTCCTCTATCTGGTGCTTTTCTTGTCCTTCTGGGAGCACTCTTGCTTGCTGTTTCATAAGACAGCAGCTGTTTCTTGCTGGTGGATTGTAATTATTTTGTGTTGGTGGCTTTATTATTTTTTTTCTCCCTCTCCCTTCCTCTCTGTAATCAATAAAAATATATTTAAAAAAACATTTTATAGATGTTCATTAAAAAAAACATTAAAAAAGAGTAAAAAGAATATTCTAAATTTGAATTACATTTTCTTTGGACATACTGTGTTTGGTTTAAGTTATATCTGGATTGGTTTTTTTATTTTTTTATTTTACCGTGCTGTGCCATTTTATTGACCAGTTTCAGAAGTCCACAGTCATCCTGCTGTAATCAATAAAAATATATTTAAAAAAACATTTTATAGATATTCATTAAAAAATAACATTAAAAAAGAATATTCTAAATTTGAATTACATTTTCTTTGGACATACTGTGTTTGGTTTAAGTTATATCTGGATTGGTTTTTTTATTTTTTTATTTTACCGTGCTGTGCCATTTTATTGACCAGTTTCAGAAGTCCACAGTCATCCTGACTTTTGCCTTCCAGACACACACCCTTTCATGTCCTAGTCCTCTATCTGGTGCTTTTCTTGTCCTTCTGGGAGCACTCTTGCTTGCTGTTTCATAAGACAGCAGCTGTTTCTTGCTGGTGGTCTCCCGCTGCTCCTGATCCCTTGCATTTTTTCAGAGCCAAGAGAGAAAAACGGCAACAACGTTTTTTCACTTTTATTTGATTTTGAATTATTTGGTGGACTTTGCGTATCTTTTAATTATAATTTTAAAACAAATCTGATGCAAAACCCTCAAAAAAAAAAGACCCCCTAAGAACTTAAAATATATTTCTTCTGTAAAAAGGGCATGTTTAAGGAAGCCCACAGCTGATCCGGATTATATTTATTTGGTGAAGCTGTGGATCTATTCACAACTAATTATAACCACATAATAGTATAATAGTGTACAATGATTTTTTGAACCAGGTAAGGATTTCAGTTTAAGTATGTTGGTAAAATACAAAAAAATATTATGATAATTTCATTATTATCATTAGTATTCTTTTTTTTTATTGCTAAAAGTATTACAAAGGGTATTACATATGTGTCCTTTTTTCCCCCTGCCCTTAATCCCCTGGCCGCCCCTACCCCCCAGTGTCTTATGTCCATTGGTTATGCTTTCCTTCATTGACTGGCTTATTTCACTTAGCAGTGGCTTTATTATTATTATAAAATAAAACATTTTTTTAGGTGCCCTGTTTGACATGGCTACAAAGAAGAACCAAACTACCTATATAAGTTTAAAAATTTTGGCTCTCAAAAGAAATTTCAATCGTACTGTTGATATTTGGCTCTGTTGACTAATGAGTTTGCTGACCACTGGCCTAGGGTGAGAGAATGCCCTGTCACCATTGCTACTCCAGCATCTAGCTCTGAGCCTAACTTACACTGGACACTTAATTGGTGGAGGGTAATCTAGAAAAAGTTACTTTCAAAGGCATGAATGTGTGAAATAGAATTATCTGAAATACGAGCAGTTAGATTCTATTGGAGAATCAAGTTTGAGGAAGAAAACTAGTTTTATGTGGGTGGCGGAGTGAGTTTGCTTCCCTCCAGCCGTGTCACTGATGGTGTGGTCCTGCTGGCCTGGGGAGGTTAACAGGGATCACAAAATGCCTGCTTTGCGTTTGAAGCTACAAATTTGGGATTTACAGCGTAGGCGATGAGAAATCTGTGAGGCTCACAGGAAAAGTAACGGACTAGCTGATGATAAAGGTGCCCTCGGAAAGAGAGTCTTCCCACCAAACTGCATGGTTTCGAGCAGACCTAACAATTCTGGAGTGGGTAGGCTAAGCGGCAAGGTTCAGGAACAACGATCGGCACATTCTACAAGTTTGGTTAACGCTGGATTAGCCTCTTAAATCTCGGTTTCAAGAAACGGGGACGCCTTCATTTCAGGCAGGATAGCTTTCTGTTCGCAACCGTCTCTTTCTTCCTCCTTTTCCCTCCTCTGCTTTGCCCATTGTTTCGACCCCATTCCTGCCTGATGCAGTCTGGGAAGTGTAGTCGCTCGCCCGCCTTCCTAAACCCGGAGGCCCTCTAAACTCGGTATCGCCACACAACTCAACAGATTTTCGAGAGGTGGGGTAAAGCGCGGAAGATCCAGCCCGCTTATCCGAGGAGCAATCTAGGACTTGCCGTTTGCAGCAGCCAAAGCGCTTCTGCGAACAGAGGGGTCCAGGACTCTAATCTCCCTCCGCCCACTATCCCGGCCTCGCGCGTCGTAATGACATCAGGGCCTGTGAGGCCCCTGGGATATGCGGTAGTTCTCGAGGAGTGTTCTCTGCCTCGGCAGCTGCGACTTGAGGACCACACTTCCCAGAAGTCTGAGCGGCGGCGCGCCGAGAGCCGCGCGGGCCCGTGATTGGCTGGTGAGCCGGCCGCACGCGGAGGAGCCCCTGGAGCAGCTCCGTTGCGACAGAGGCCGAGCGGCAAGGCCCAGTGAGTTGGGGGAAGAGACGCTGGGGGGAGGGCGCCGGCCAGTGAAGGGGAAGGAGGATGAGAAGAGGGAGGAGGGACGGGATCGGGATGGATGGAGGAATCTTCGAGGGAGAAGAAAAGGCAAAGGGGGAGAAGCTGACGGGCGGGGGTTGGGGTCCGTTCGGGGGTGGCGTGTGAGGAGACCCCGAGGGGACTCACCCGGGTAGGGGGGACAGTGCGTCCCGGGGGGAGCCGGCTGGGTGGTGTGGAAGCAAGGGGACAGCGGAGAGGAGGCCCGAGGCGGACGGGAGGAGGCAGCCTGGCAAAGCGAGGCGGACGGCTGGAGCGCGGAGCGCCAAGTTGCGGGGAAACCGGAGACGGGACCTCTGCCCTCTGCCGAGGGGCAGAACCCGGTGCCCACCGGGCGCCCTGGAAGGAGGAGCGTTTCCGGAGAGAGGCAGGCCGTGGGGATTGGCGGACACAGCCCGAGGGAAGAGATGCTGAGGTTAAAAGAGCGGCCGAGGATCAGCATCGGCTCGAGAAACTGACAAAGTTGGGAGCTACCGGGCAGGGGCGGAGCTGGTCCCGAGGTTCGCTAGGAAAATTCCCGGCAGGGACGGAGCAGGGCCCGGGCATTCTCCCTAAGGTGGACTTAGGGGTGTTTCCCTTCCTTCAGGCTCCCTGGAAGAGCAGTACCGACCCCTGTGGTTCACCATGCCCTCCGACCTGGCCAAAAAGAAGGCGGCGAAAAAGAAGGAAGCTGCCAAAGCGCGGCAGCGGCCCAGGAAGGGGCATGAAGAAAACGGAGATGCTGCCGCAGAACCACAGGTGGCAGAGGAGAGAAACGAGGGGGTCAATGGCCAGGAGACCACAGGTGCGTTGAGGGCGAGGTGGGCGCCAGGGATGGTTGCTAGGACCTGATGGATGCGGGCCCCAGCCAGAGGCCGGATCCGGATGCTGGGGGCACTGAACACTGTATCAGGTGCCTCGAAACTTTGCATGAACCAAAACAGTAGTGTTGGAGCTTGTGGCATCCTGTTACTGTTCAGGGAAACACAGGCTCCTCACATACCCAGGGGCAGGCAGCTGGGAGAGCTGTGCTACTTTGTTGCTCTGTCTGCTAGACTGTGAGGAGGAGGTCAGCTCCCTGCCCCTTTCTCAGTTCCCATTTCTACACCTGGTGGTCAGTGTGCCAGGCTCTTTGCCAAATCACACCCTGGTCCTCTCTGGGGTAATGACTTCTATTCATAAACTTATGAATTACTTTATGGGTTTTTCCTGGGAAAGAGATAATTTCTGTTATAGTTTGGAAAATATGTTGCACTTCTCCAGGGCTGTACACTATTCTACATACTGAGTTGCTCAGCTATACACACAGTCTGCCCTCGCAGAACTGACAGTCTAGGTGGGGGAACATGGCAGTGTGTGATAAAGAATATTCCAGCCCTAGCCGGTTTGGTTCAGTGGATAGAGCGTCAGCCTGCGGACTGAAAGGTCCCAGGTGCCATTCCGGTCCAGGGCGCATGCCTGGGGTTTTAGGCTTGATCCCCAGTGTGGGGTGTGCAGAAAGCAGCCAATCAGTGATTCTCTCTCATCATTGATGTTTCTATCTCTCTCTCCCTCTCCCTTCCTCTCTGAAATCAATAAAAATATATAAAAAGAAAAGAAAAATAATGTTAAAAAAAAGAAAGAAAAATAATATTCCAGGCTCTTGGGAGTCTATTTCCAGCCCTCCCCCATCCCCCCTGAAGGCTCTCTAAACAGGCCTTCTCAATACAGACTATTATTATTCCTTGAATAGTCACCATGTTTCTGTCCTTTTACACACTGAATTCTAATACCACAATTTTTATGCTAGTTACATTTGACATTTTTTCTCAAAGCCTTTCCCAATCAAACCTGACCTTAATATTTCCATTTACTACACTCCTGTGCTATCTTAATACCATTACCTTTTTATATTTTCTCTTCTGTTTTTTTTTTCACCTAAATTGTTTGGTTTTTGCAGGGGGACTGTGTCTTGGATAATGCTATTTTGTATGACTAGCCTTGCAGATAGAGATGCTAAGTAAATGTGTGAAGAGGAGAGGAGAATTACTAATGCAAATTATGACAGTCAGATAGAAATTCAGAAAAGGAGGAGTTAAAAATGATTGAGAGGAGAGAGTTGAGTGGTAAGAATTGTCTCCAAAATAAGAATTATAGGAAAAAACTGGTGCGTTGAAGTCAGGCCATGGGGAAGTTTTATTCTTGGCGGGAGGAGGGATGAGAAGTTAAGAATGGTGGGAGTGAACAGGCTGAGTTGTGATCTCTAAAGTAGAGAGTTGGGGTCCCCTCTAGACGCTCAGGAACCATGCATGGTAAGCTGTATCATTGGCTCTGTGGGGACTTTCTGGATGAATTGGAAAGGTAGAAAACTGAATCCTACTTTGAGACTATTGTCCACTGTCCTCATTACAAATTTCTTCACCCTTCCTCTTCTATGAAAATAGAATTTCTCAGGGAACCCAGATATAGCATCCCTATCTCAATAATACAGGATCTTTGGATTTTACCTTGCTTCCTCAGGGAGATACTATTATGAAATGTGACAAACTCTCTCAAAACATTTCTTATTGCCAGGAGCCATGTCATTTCTGCTTTCATAATTAATGAGTCCTCTCTCCTCTCTGGGTTTGGGATTATTTGATACTGTGAGTGACCATTCTCCAACCTTTACCAATTGCCATTACCATGTGGTCTTCCTTAGATAGCAAGGTATGTAAAGATCAAGATAAATAGCAAAGAAAGTGACCTCTGACCAACAGTTCCACCTTCTTTACAATGTGAGACACTTTAAGATAAGCACTGGAGAGTGAGTGGAGGGACAGTACTCACTCTGGTGAAGTTTGTTACAGAATCTTTTTCCATTTCTTCAAAGCTATTCACTTGTCTTTGGGGCCTGTTTTCTGGGATATTGTAGTCTAGACAATGAGGTCTGTTTAAGTCTCTTTCTTTTGAAGCTTAGAAGATGACTTAGGTTATAGATGCTATAAACTGGAAGAGATCAAAAGAAAATGGCATATAGCCTTCCCTTAATTTTGATCTTCCCCTGCCTGAGCAGATGAAGAGATAGACTAGGGATTGTCAAACTTTTTCTGTAAAGATCCAAATAGTAATGTAATATTTAAACAATAAAGAATTAAAGAAAAAAAAGACTATTAAGATATTGGTGGGTTTCTCCTAATGTCACTGAACAAGAAAAAAAAATCCAGATAGTAAATATTTGTGGCTTTTGGGCTATACATATGGACTATATCTTGCAGCTGTTCAATTCTCTCACTGTAGTAGAAAGCAGCCATAACAATATGTAAATAATGAATGTGGCTGTGTTCCAATAAAACTTTTATTTATAAAAGTAGGCAGTTGGCCAGCCTTTTTTTTTTTTTTTTAAGCCACCTTCTCTCCTAAGCTAAGAATGGTTTTTACATTTTTTTAGAGGGTTACATTTCAATGGTAATATAGATACTAAATAATGATCTTGATTTTTACCACTTGTCCTGTAAACTCTAAAATGTTTACCATCTGGCCCTTTAAGAAAAAGTTTATCAACTACTTATCTAGACATGAACTTCTTTCTCCCTACTCCATAATCATCTCAGCATCTAGAACAGGGATTGGCACAAAACAAGGCTGTGGGAAGCTTGGTAACACAATCATATTGAAAAAAGATTTAAAATTCCTCCTTGCAGTCAAAACTAAAAACTTAGTCCTCCATTCAAAAAGTACTTATCAAGCACTTACATATATATCATAGTGTTCAGGAGCTGAGGTAGGTACAGAATGACTGCTGTCTGTCTTGTGGAGCATTCTCCGCCCTCAGTGCTGGATACTTGCAAATAGAGCAGGTTTAGCAGCAAGGTGGGTAATGGTGCCAGCACAGGTAATCTGACAGGATGGGGTATTTGGAGAGTGACCTCTGAGACTGACCATGTACCACCACACTTTCTGTCTTGGCATTGCTCTCCCCAAGCTTACCTGTCCAAGGAGGGCACCGAGCTGTCTTCCCCCCTCTACTACATCTCTACTCGTCCTGAGAACAAGCGCATGACTTTTCTCATTTCATGGGTTCTACTCTAAAATCACTAAGGGAACACAGATAAGGGTAACAGACTAAAAAGTCAGAAAATTCTCGTACTGCAACCTCGTGTGTAGTTTCTGATTCCTACTTGAAAAGGTAACTAGATCACCTTTTCTCTTTTGGCTAAGCTTACTAAGACTCCCTCCACTCCCATTTCTGTCCACTTTCAACAACTCTTTGTGGGTACTTTCCTATATAGAAAGGTAGTATAGTGAAGCAGGTGAGGTCATGGGCTTTGGGACCAGACAAGCACTAGTTCAAATTCTGACTCTGTCACTTACTAGCCTTTTTGGCCTTGACTATGTTATCTAACCTCTTCATTTATAAACTGGGGTTTATAGGTGTATGTGTCATAAGGATTATTAGAATTAAATTAGATGGGAAATAAGGATTATTAGTATTAAATAAGGTTTATTACTAATACTAATAAGGATTATTAGTATTAAATTAGATGATACAGCACAGTCCCAGGCACAGAGTAAACTCAGCTATTAGCCAGTTATATTAGCCATTAATAGTAATCATTCTTGGGGGAGGGTTGGTAGGTGGGTGGAAAGAGATCAACCAAAGAACTTGTATGCATATATGCATACCCCATGGACACAGACAATAAGTTGTGAAGGCCTGGGGTGGGTGTGGAGGCAGATTAGAAGAGATGAATAGGGGGAAAAAGGAGGCATATGTAATACTTTCAACAGTAAAGATTTTTAAAGTATGTAACAGTGTTCTGATAGAATGTGTATAGCATTACTTTACAAATCTAGGTAAATGAAAGACATTGTCATTAAAATGCAAAATGAATTTATTTTATTTACTATTGTAAAAAAAAAAAAAGTAATAGTTCTCAACCTAAAGATGTAGTCATGCATGAAAAACCACAGAGACAGGACAGCTAGTCTCTTATCTCAGGATCACTTTACCTCTGAAACCCTTCAGATTTGGGGACTTCTGGCTTGTCCAGCCTTGGCCTTGCCTGTGGTTTCCCTCTGTAAATTTCCTCACTGGTTCCTTCTGGGCAGCAAGCTTCCTGGAAGCATCTTCTAGGACAGGGGTGGGGAATGTCTGGCCCTTGGGCCCCGTAAGGCCTGCGAAATCATTTGGTCTGGCCCTGCAGAGGCATTAAGGATGAGTTAGTTAAAAGTTTGACTAAATATAGTAGGCTAATTTTTTATTTTTCTTCTTTTTCTTGTTAATCCTCACCCGAGGACATTTTTCATTGATTTTTAGGGAGATTAGAAGGGAAGGAGAGAGACAGAGAGAGAAACATCAATGTGAGCGACACATCCATTGGTTGCTTCCCACACTCTCCACCCCCCAACCGGCCCGGGGATTGAGCCTGTCACCGAGGTACATGCCCTTGACTGAAATCAAGCCTGAGACCCTTCAGTCTGCAGGCCAACGCTCTATCCACAAGCTAGGGCAGCAGGCTAATTTTTAAGTTGATAATTTTGTATGTCCTGAGAATCATGTTATAAATATCCAAATGGCCCTTGTTAGAAAAATGCCCCCCCCCCCCTCGATCTAGGAGCTTCTTAGCTTGTGAAATAAGAGAGTTACACCTCTATAGTATCTGCTTTCTGGGAGCATTAGAACTAGTCACTTAATACATACAGAGGACAATTTGCCGTTACAGTCATTCCCACCATGTATTTATATAATCTAGAAACGGGAGGTTAAAGGGATAAGTTATAAACCCTGGCCAGGTGGCTCAGTTGATTTGATGCGTCATTCTGTGCACCAAAAGGTTTGATTCCCATTCAGGGCACATGCCTAGGTTGCAGGTTTGATCTCTGGGGAATGTACGGAAGGCAACACATTGTTATTTCTTTCTCAGTGGATGTTTCTTTCCCTTCATCTCTCTAATCAATAAAAACATACTCTTGGGTGAGGATTTAAAAAAATGGTAAGTTATGAAGTAAAAAGTATCCAAAAAAGCAGGGTATTAGGGCAGATCTATATACAAAGTATCCCCTGTTTAAAGTTTGTAGACCTCTGAATCTGCTCAACTTGATCTGGAGTCCAGGTCCTTTAGAACACACATGCCTTTTTTCAGCATTCAGAATTCTGTATGGTAATATTGAGTAACCTGAATAAAGGGAAAAGCCACAAATGTCCATACAGGGACTGGAAACCTGGACTCTCAGGTTAAAAGTCTGATGCTCTCCCAACGGAGCGATCCAGGCACTCTAACACAGTGAGGGCGAACCTTTTGAGCTCAGCATGTCAGCATTTTGAAAAACCCTAACTTAACGCTGGTGCCGTGTCACATATAGAAATTTTTTTATCTTCGCAACCATAGTAAAACAAAGGTTTATATTTTTGATATTTATTTTATATATTTAAATGCCATTTAACAAAGAAAAATCAACCAAAAACATGAGTTCGTGTGTCACCTCTGACACGCGTCATAGGTTCACCATCACTCCTCTAGCATATGCCTTGTTTGAGAGCTGTGTCTCTTCCCAACTGTTTTTCTTCTCTGTCCCCAGAAGTGGATTTGCTGTCCAAGGAGCTGGAGGACTTTGAGATGAAGAAAGCTGCTGCTCGAGCTGTCACTGGTGTCCTTGCCTCTCACCCCAACAGTACTGACGTCCACATTATCAACCTCTCCCTCACTTTTCATGGCCAAGAGCTGCTCAGTGACACCAAACTGGAATTAAACTCGGGCCGTCGTTATGGTCTCATTGGCTTAAATGGAATTGGTGAGGCCCTTGGAAGGCGAGGTGGGAGGTATCTCTCCTTGGCTCATCTGTCACTCAGCGAGTATTAACCTAGCATCAGCTATGTACAAAGCAAGGAGTTTACAGTATGGGTGGGAGAGCAGAAATGCCCAGGGAAAGGAGCTAGCAATACAGAGCAGTGTGTGGTAAGTACCACATGAGTAGTTACAACAGGTGCTGGAAAAGTGGGCGGGAGGGGTGGGTTGGCAGTGTGAGGCTGCTGTAGATGAACAGATTTCACAGAGGAGGGTGAGGCAAGAATTGGAGGGAAGGTGTCCTGAGAACGGGGAGGGGGTAATAGGGTTTGAATGAATGAAAGGAAGGGTCCAGCCAGTGTGGCTCAGTGTTGGAGCTGGAGGTCACTGGTTTGATTCTAGTCAGGGCACATGCATGGGTTTCGGGCCTATACCCAGTAGGGGGTGTACAGGAGGCAGCCGATCCGTCTCTCTCTCTCTCTCTCTCTCTCTCTCTCTCTCTCTCTCTCTTTCATGTTTCTGTACCTCCCTCTTTCTTCCTCTCTCTCTAAAATCAATAAAGACGTTTTATTATTATTACTTTTTTTAAATAACTCTTTTTATTTCAGAGAGGGAGAGAGAGAGAGAGAAACATCAATGATGTGAGAAAATTGTTGATTGGCTGCCTCCTACATTCTCCACACTGGCTATCAGGCCTGAACCCAGGCATGTGCCCTGACATGGAATCGAACTGCTACCTTCCGGTTCATGAGTCAATGCTCAATCACTGAGCCACATTGGCTGGGAAATAAAGACATATTTTTAAAAAAAGAAAGGAAGGAAGGAAAGTACTAAAAAAAAAAAATGGTGCCCTAACCGGCTTGACTCAGTGGATAGAGCGTTGGCCTGCAGACTGAAGGGTCCTGGGTTTGATTCTGGTCAAGGACATATGCCTGGGTTACCAGCTCGATCCTCAGTAGGGGGCATGTAGGAGGCAGCTGATCAGTTATTCTCATCATTGATGTTTCTATCTATCTCTCCCTCTCCCTTCCTCTCTGAAATCAATGAAAATGTATTTTTTAAAAAATGGTGAGGTTGTGGCTGGGCTGGAGTGGAGGAACTGGTTGGAGTAATGACACAAAACTGCTGAGTGTCCCCTTCCCATTCTCTGCCTGCCTCTCTCAGGCAAGTCCATGCTGCTCTCTGCCATTGGGAAACGTGAAGTGCCCATCCCTGAGCACATCGACATCTACCATCTGACTCGGGAGATGCCCCCAAGTGACAAGACACCGCTGCAGTGTGTGATGGAAGTCGATACAGAGCGGGCCATGCTGGAGAAGGAGGCTGAGCGGCTGGCTCACGAGGATGGTAGGGCTCCAGCCCTGGGGGGCGGAGGTGCGAGGCTTCCTCCCGGGAAGGGCCCAGGGAGCCTGAAGGCTGTTCACTGCCCACAGCGGAGTGTGAGAAGCTCATGGAGCTCTACGAGCGTCTGGAGGAGCTGGATGCTGACAAGGCAGAGATGAGAGCCTCGCGGATCTTGCACGGACTGGGTTTCACACCTGCCATGCAGCGCAAGAAACTAAAAGACTTCAGTGGAGGCTGGAGGATGCGGGTTGCCCTCGCCAGGTGAGTCCCTCTCCCTCCCCCCTGTAGTTCCCCTTCTCTCTCAGGGATGAAAGCTCGCTCTAGTAGAAGTGTTTTGAACAGGGGTCAGTGGTCAGTAACTGCCAAACAGGACACCGACATCGACGATGTGGAGGGCTGATGTGTGTGGGTTAAGGAGTGAGCTCCTGACTGAGTGGTCACTGTTGGGTTCTGGCATAGTGTTTAGGCATCTTCGGTAAATGGTGGAATAGGTCTGCCTTTCTCCGAATGACTCCCCCTCACCCTTTTTTGTGCTTCAGTCTTTCTCATTGTTTTTACTATAAGGAGAGAATGTTAGAATGCTAGCTGTTAAGATCTGTTTTCTCATCTTCTTGTGACTTGGACCTGAAATCCCCCCAGAAAGTCCCGATTAAATAGGTGGTTCCCTAGTCACCATTGTCTGCCAGGTGCCTTGGTCAGCCTGACACGCTGCCTCAGCAAGGCTGCTTGTGTGCACCTTCAAGCACGAGTGCGGGGATCCCACGTGTGAGAAGGATTAGCTGCCTTGGGTTTGCCTAGAGAGCTTTTAAAAATACTTCCTCCCTAGCCTGTTCTTATTTCTAAAAAGCTCCACAGATGTGGGAACCAGAGTTATCCCCTTGCTTCTCCTGTCTTGAGATTCCATCTAAGAAAAGAGCTTTCTCTGGACTCCTTGCTAGAGGCCAGCAACCCTGCCAGATAGCTCTAACCTGAATACTTTTCGCTGCAATGATTGATTTCTTCTGTCCTTTTTCCTTCCTGATGGTCACCATCATCAGTGTAAAAGACTGACAGACTCAAGGACTTTTACAGTCTCATCTCCAAAGCATATCATCCCTCTGCTTCTCAACCCTGTTTCTGCCCTTTAACCTCTGCTCTTCAACTCTGGTTTCTCTCCTAGTTCTCCTTTTCCTCTGAGGTATAGAACCTAGAATTGGTTTCAGGACTCAAGCCAGGCCTGACCCAAATTGTGGTAGCAGGCAAGGCAGTCCCTTTCTGTGTCGCACCCGTTAGACTGAGGTGGCTCTGTCCTTTCCTGTCCTTCAGAGCCCTCTTCATTCGGCCCTTCATGCTGCTCCTGGACGAGCCCACCAACCATCTGGACCTCGATGCTTGCGTGTGGTTGGAAGAGGAACTAAAGACGTAAGGGGACAGGGCTGGGGTTGGGAGTGGGCAGGTGCTGAGGAGGGAGTTGAGCAGTCCAGAGGAAATGGATACCCAGAAACCGCACTGATATTAGACTAGTTAACAAATGAATGGAGGGAGGCCACGAAGGCCACAGTGACAGTGGTAAGCAGCTTTAGGGCTGGCCTTTGTGTTTGATTGTCTTTCTTTTGTCTGAAACGTGTGGGTGGTTTTTTGTTTTCATTAAAGCTGATTTCTTTTTTTCATTAATTTCAGAGAGTAAGGGAGAGGGAGAGAGAGTTAGAAACATCAATGATGAGAGAGAATCATTGATTGGTTGCCTCCTGCACACCCCTACTAGGGATTGAGCCTGTAACCCAGGCATGTGCCCTTGACTGGAATCGAACCTGGGACCTTTCAGTTCACAGTAAAGCTGATTTCTTTAACTACATTTCTAGCCATCACATATAGATATCATTTTTTAAAAATATATTTTATTGATTTTTTACAGAGAAGAAGGGAAAGGGACAGAGAGCCAGAAACATCGATAAGAGAGATCGATCGATCAGCTGCCTCCTGCACCCCCCCCAGTGGGGATGTGGCCGCAACCAAGGTACATGCCCTTGACCGGAATTGACCCTGGGTCCCCTGAGTCCGCAGGCCGACGCTCTATCCACTAAGCCAAACCGGTCAGGGAAGCCAATTTCTTTTAAAAAAAAATATTTTTATTGATTTCAGAGAGGAAGGGAGAGGGAGAGAGAGATAGAAACATCAATGATGAGAGGGCCTGCTCCTGCACACCCTGCCCTGGGGATCAAACCGTGACCTTCTGGTTTGAGTGTGAGGCCGACGCTCTATCCGCTGAGCCAAACTGGTTCGGCATAGATATTTTTGTTTATATTAAAGCCAATTTATTTTTATTTATTTTTAAATATATTTTATTGATTTTTCACAGAGAGGATGAGAGAGGAATAGAGTTAGAAACATCCATCAGCTGCCTCCTACACACCCCCTACTGGGGATGTGCCCACAACCAAGGTACATGCCCTTGGCCAGAATCGAACCTGGGACCCCTGAGTCCGCAGGCCGGCGCTCTATCCACTAAGCCAAACCGGTCAGGGAAGCCAATTTCTTTTAAAAAAAAATATTTTTATTGATTTCAGAGAGGAAGGGAGAGGGAGAGAGAGATAGAAACATCAATGATGAGAGGGCCTGCTCCTGCACACCCTGCCCTGGGGATCAAACCGTGACCTTCTGGTTTGAGTGTGACCTTCTGGTTTGAACGTCACAGGTTGACGCTCAACCACTGAGCCACACCAGCTATGCTTAAAGTCAATTTCTTTAACTGTATTTATAGACATTATCTAAGATCATGATGTAGTGACAAGGGAAAAATAGCAGATATGGCAATGGTCTCTCTGGTTAAAGAGCTGAATAACCTGGGGTATTGTGCCAGCTCTAGACGAAGGTTTTCAGTGGTCTCTGCAGTGACTTGATACCTTCTTTCAAAAAGAAGAGTGTCATGATTTTGACTGTGCCGATTCCAGTTCTTCTCACCCATAGTTCCAGTACACTTATGGTGGGTCTGTGCACATACACTTTTGTTTTTACCATCACTGGTACTACCATCTCTACTCCATTCTGTTGAAAATTAGAACCTGGAGGAAAATTAGAAGATGAGGGAATCTCAGACTGTCTCACCACACTTTGAAAGGCATTAAAACGTCCTTATAAGTAAATGGTGCACTAGTGGCTTCAGTGCTTGCTGAGAGCTGGGAATTGACCAATAAATCTAACAGGTGCTCAAGTGTAAGGATGAACAAGGATGAAGGTTTTCTGGGCCTGACTCTCAGCTTACCTGTTGTGGACTATCTTCCAGTTGAGAGCACCCCCCTGACTGGTTCTTTGGCTTTGCAGTTTTAAGCGCATCCTGGTTCTCGTCTCCCATTCCCAGGACTTTCTGAATGGTGTCTGTACCAACATCATTCACATGCACAACAAGAAACTGAAGTATTATACGGTGAGTAGCCCCACCTTCTCCACAGAAACCTCTGTGCTTACCAATTCCCTGAAGTTCTCCTTTAAAAAACACACAAACTAACCAAAAAACAGACTTAGCAGCCTTTTCTACCTATTGCTATAAAAATATGTGGACAAGGAATCTTGCAGCCTGTTTTAGTCCCAAAGTATTTGCTTTTAGGCCATAAGCCTGGATTGTCAGCCAGTGCACACAGTGTATGTTTGCATTGTGGCAAAGAGATTGACTTTTCACGGTACCTAGGCTGCACTCTGTCTTCCTGAATGGCTGCTTAACTGCTTCATGACCATCGGCACATTCCATGAAGAATGGGCGTCAGGATCTCGACAGCCTACTTTTGTGCCTTTTCATAGTCTCTATTTCAAAAATCATATCAAATGAAAAATAGAAGTCCTCTTCATTCATAACTATACTTGCCATGGGAGTACTAATAGTTTCTTAAAAGCCTTCCAGAAATTTCCTGTGTACCTGCAAGCATTTGTGGAAAATTTCTTGTATACATATCACAGTTGTAATCTTAATAATCATTCTCTTCTGTAGGTTGCTGTTAAAGTTTACTGTATCT